TATATTCAACCTGGGATTGGGATTAAATTTTATTTTTCCATAGTCTTGAGACCCGCCAAATGATATAAGGAAAATGACATTTCAAACAGAAATAAAGGAGTTAGGAATTTTGCCTTTATTTTTCTTGGCGGACTGGGCTTTCCTAACTTTATTAAAAAACATTATATCATATTATAAAATTACTAACAAGAAGACATATAAATGCACATTGATTTGCCAAAATATGTTTATCTTCTTAATATATTTCAATAGTATTAATTGTGAAAAAAGTTTGTTTCCTTCTTAATTTGACAAAGATAACAATTTTGGAAAGAAGAAAAATGATTTGACACCTATTTCAATAGTATTAATTACTTTTTACTTTTTAATACTGCTACGTTTAGATACATTTAACACGTTAAGACAATTATGTTCACAGCATTGATTAAGTGTCAAAAGATGTCATAGGCCTAAATTTTCGCTACCCTTAAATTGCCTATTTGATATTTAATTGAGGAATATAAAAGAAGAGTAACTTAAATAGTAATTCACTCAACAGCTAAATTTTTTTATGTAATATGTATTAATTAATATATAATATATGTATATCGGCTATACGAAAATAGCGAATACAGCCAGCTATTTGTGTACTCATTCAGGTTTCTCAAATAATTGACTTATAACTTGACTTGTCGTTTTATACGGATAACATATTTTATATTTTATATATAATTAATATATTTTTGACATATTTGACTAGTAACTGTAATTATTTTTCATCCGCCAAACGTGTTACACCCCCTAAAATAACTCCGGAACAATAAGTAGGCCACCAAAGTCTACAAGTCGTGTGTGCACGAGTTGAACATTCACCTTCATACTCTTTTTTTGTTTTGTTTCGTATCCGATGTCCGGTACATACATTGGGGTCCGACTAAATCCGGATTCGCACCGGAAAGTCTCACATTTGGGGTAAAGCGCTCCCTAACAAAGGCGATCTCATACTCAGGGACTCGAATCCGAGATCTCTGTTAAGAATGAAGGAGTACTTACCACTCCACCACACAACCCCTATTGGTTCACCATCATACTGTTATTTATGCAAGAAAGATTGTCATAGTCTGCAAAAACAAAAGAAAATTTAATTGGACGAATATTTTAATATTTTAGGAATTTACACAATTAATCGGCCTGAATCCTTGTAATCACGGTTATACAATTAATTATACATGAATTATATAAATATTATAACAACCGTCGGCTATTTTTAATTCAAGCAATTAGACGACCGACCATTTAGGTTAATTCTTCAATATTTTATTCATTTTACCAGCACTATTAAAAGTGGATGTGTTAAATTCTTTGCTCCCATTCTTTTTTTTTTTGGGTGGTGGGTGGGTGGGGGGATGATTCAAGAAATTGGCAATGTCCCTAAAAATAATTTAAGTGGGAAATCCAGTTCAGTAGGAAAAGTTAAAGAGGCTAAGTAAATATCTCCAAAATTTTGACAAAGAGAGTGATGACAATCCATGGTCAAGTTCTTTTCTGGGTATTATGTCGAACAATCAATATTCATTAACAAATAACTTATGTAGATTCAGTTAATCTGCTGTAATCTATGTTTATTTTGGATATTACTTAGAAATGAGCAATAAACATTTATTAAAAGAACTCTTTTTAGATTCTGTTAATCATGTTTCAGAAGATTACATAAATTTAATATCATGGTATAATTGTCAAATTAATACTCTTCTATACCTCTATATAACGTTATCCTCATAATAGCAACGGTCTCATGTACCTAGCAAACCAAGTATACTTTTTAGATATTTCATATTGTATAAATTAATTCGATTTTTTTAAAAATATTCTGATATTCACACCGAAAAGAAAATGAAAGAATTCAGGATACATCAAAGAATTGTTCGACAAACTTTGCTGGTACTATATTTTCTTTTGAGTTATAATGGTGTTCAAGGAGAAAAAAAGCTATCTGAACTAGAGGATGCAGAGTTAGAAAAACAACTAAAATTTTTGAACAAACCTGCAGTCAAAACAGTTAAGGTATTTGTTTTAATTTAAAATGATCAATGTATTGGTAATCTTTTGAGACAATGTTGTTTTTATTAGAAAATATCAGTTTTTGTAGAAAAAATGCAATTTCTCTGTCGAATGATCGTTTGCCCAGGAAGAGTTTCCAAAATCAAACTAAATTTGGGAAATGAACTTTGTGTGCTTTTTCCTCTCTTTTTTTGCTTGTTGTAAATTCTTGTATTAGAAAATTGAACTCTCTACATTATACTATTTTTTACATATTTATTATTCTGTTTACATTTAATCTTGCAAATTTGCAGACAAAATGCATAAGAATGGCTTTGATGAAAACATATATTGACTTTAAAGTCTAATAATATCAATACATTAAAAAATAAAATAGAGGAGTAGTCATCATCTACAAACCATGTTTGAGTGAAATTGTTTTGTGTCTAAGTTACGTATTGAATTACCAGATGTGTATCTTATTATATGATTTGTTTTTCTTCAGACTAAGAGGGAGACTTATACGATTGTATAGATTTCTATAAACAAACTACATTCGATCACCCGTTGTTGAAGGATCATAATTTTTATCCCAAGGCATATCTCTTCTCTCTCTCCATTCTACTTTCAATTTTTTTTTACGATGATATGATACCGTTGACATGAAATTGAACATTTGGTTGAATAGATGAAATCTACACTATCTAGGATAAAGCAAAACTCAGGTTCTTCAACAGCTAGTCCGTCAACGACGATATGGCCAACAGATGGAGGTTGCCTTTTTGGAACTGTTCCTATTAAGATAATTACAAAGGATGATCTTATTAGACGAAGACGTATGCCACTGCCAGAAAATGTTACATTCGACGCTAAATTGGCTGATGTGAGATAGTTTATGTCAATATACTCCTATGTCTTGAATAATTCATATCTAAACATGAGAATCAATTATTTTACAGTTCATGCACAAACAGAAACAAGCTTAGTTTTCAATCATCGGCACGCTACTCATATATTGTTGTCCAACTAATGCAGAGCAACAACAATATTGAGCCAAAAGGAGGATACATATCTTCACAAGGATATAAGGTACATGAGCTCTATTTCCCCTCTTTTTCAAAAGGGATTTTTACACAAATAGCCTGTCATATTAATTGTTTACTTTTGCTAGCTATATACATAGATTATACATAATTATACATATTTAATACATAAATTATGCATATAATATACATTCGCCGGCTATTTTTAGTTTAAGTTCTAGGGTGAGCGGCTATTTGGGTTAATTCTTCTATTTTTTTAAAACACCCCATGTCGTACTCAGACTTCAGAAAGAAAAAAAGAAAAAACTTAAGATTTAATGTATATATAAAGATTAATTTGTATACTCTATATGAGTTAATACAAAGATTTATTTCTTTTATTCAGGTTGCAATAGCTCGAACTCCAAATAATCCAAATAATAAATTTGCGGGAGCTGCAATGGTAACTAGTTTGTACAATCCTCATGTTAAAGGCCAGCAACACAGTGCAAGTCGATTAAAAATTCAAAAAGAATCAGATATCTTACAAGTTGGTTGGAGAGTAAGTTTAACGCGGCCTTTTTCATCAATTATTTAATTGTTTCATGGAAGAAGGAAATGTTGTAACTTGTAATCATTGAATATTGTACATTTATTATGTAAAACACTCAATATTCAATAATCATGATATATATCTCTATTTCGTGCTATAGGTGGACCCAACATTATATGGGGATACTGAAACCAGGTTTTTTATTCATTTCCAGGTAACTTATCTTGACGATTTCCATCTTGATTTCATGAAACTAGCTATATTTAACTGTTTACCTCAATTAATTACAAGAATTCATGTAGCGGATATATCTTCATGTTTTCTAGGCTGGTAAAGCTCATTGCTTCAATACGCTTTGTCCTGGCTTTGTACAAGTAAACAATGAGATACCTCTTGATCTTTCATACCAGGATACTATTTCACAACGTGGCAGGAATACTTGGGAGGTTATGATGTACATTGATCGGGTACATTTTATATTTCATTTCTTCAGAGCTTTTATCAAGTCTGTACGAGTATATGGATTATAATTCAGAGAGCTCATAAATATTAACATTAACATTTTTTTTTTAAAAAAAAACTAAGGATCTAGCCAATGGAAATTGGTGGCTTTAACGGGAAAGAAGCTATAAACAAGTTGGTTTCTGGCCGCAAAGGATCTTAACTGGCTTGGCAGGTTTTGTTACAAACAAGCTTTTTCTCCGTTGAAGACACTACTTATGATGCTTATTGTACGAAACTTACAGTTTTAAACGAGAAAGGAAAAATAATTGAATTAGATAAAACGACCAACAAATACCGACAATCCTAATTTGTACAAGGTTTTATATATTTGAACCACTTTGGTATGGTTCACTAGGTGTGCTTTTTGTTCTTTATGGTGGACCTGGTGAGAGTGCACAAGTCTAAGTCTTGTTAATTACTATTATTAAGACATTTGTCTTCAATGTCTAAGGAAATATATTGAGCAACTCGTGGTTAGTTTACAATTGTCTAAGGCTAGCAAATTTGGAGTTAAAGAAATCCCGTTTGTGCTTTCAAGACATAACTTCTGCAGTAACAGAACATGCAAACCAAATCAAAGGGAATTAAGGGCAAAAATTTACTACTCCATCCGTTTCAAATTAGATGAGGTACTTTCTTTTAAAGTCTGTTCCAAAATAAATGACACATTTCTAAATTTGGAAATAATTCAATTATAAACTCTTCATTTTACCTATTTTACCATTAACGAGAAGCTTTTATAACCACACAAATGTCATGACCCACAAAACTTTTACCCCTTAAGCTTTTAAGACCACAAGTTTCAAAAGTTTTTTTTTTCCCCTAAACTCCGTGCCGAGTCAAACTAACTCATCTAAATTGAAACGGAGGGAGTACTAGTTTTTCACCGGTCATTTTCCTAGACAAAGCTCTCACCAGAAACTAAGATCACCACATTCGTTTTCCGAGATGCCCTTTGTATAGCAAATGAATAAAGTAGAAAAGTGGGAGAAGAAGAATTAAAAGACAATTATATATATATATAGCAAATGAATAGAACCAATTCCAACAACAATTTTGATACTTCAGATTATATATATATATATATATATATATATATATATATATATATATATATATATATATATATATATAGCAAATGAATAAAACCAATATATAGGATACGACTATAGTTGCAAATTAGCCTATTTATATTCGCCTAAAATCCTAAATTAGTTATGGCACATTCTTACTCTAATTTATGACTTAACTACGATAAAATAGTATAATTTAGTGCAATTCCCGATAGCTCATAAATCTTTACCCAATATGACATTCTAAAAAGTCCCTTATTGTGCCAGACTATAAATCTTGATGCATTTTTTTGTTATTAGAAAAGACAGCCGTTTTAAAAGCTGGTTCTTTGCTTAGTCATTGGATTGTCATAAAGAAAAATACAAAATTGCAAAACTAAAAGATGATAAATATTCATATTTATGCACCTTGCATCCGTGCGAGGATATGTAACTTCTTTTGGGCTCACTATTATTGTTAATCTGTGAAAAATAATATATGAGTTGCCGCAATGATGGAAACTAAACATTATTTTTATTTTTCTAATGTACTTTTTTTCTTATTATAATTCTATTAATGCTTAAACTATTAGATTCTACAAATGAAGTCAATACTTCTCTTTTTTAAATGAATTATTCAAGATAAGCAATGATTAAGGATAACATTATCTTACATTAGTCAACTAAGCTTGAATGATGGTTTCTGATGGAGGAATATGTATGTGTCTAATAAGATCATCTTTGGACAACCTTTTTTCTTTAACCATATGCACGATAACTTATTAGCTGCTGAGATATCTGAATTGTGCAGTGTCCTAGTTAAAATAGGTTTCATCTGTTCATCCAAACTTAAATTCAGCTTGTTTACAATTCTAAACTAGTATTAAAAAATTGAAGGTGTAATAAAACACTAAAGAAGAATATTGCAAAGAAAGAGAGAGAATTCTTATTACTTTGAGATGAATTACAATGGAATATGGCCCCTCTATTTATTAAGAAAGAGTGACTTAGCCACCAAGTAAAATCCCTAAAATCTTTCTAAAGTATAGACATTCACCTTAAATAAAACTATATTTATAACACTCCCCCTTGAATGTTTATTCAACAGATAATGTGCCTCGTTAAAACCTTAACTAAAATAAAATTCATTGGGAAAAAAATTCTTGTCACGACCCGAAATTTTCCACCGACGGGACCGTGATGGCGCCTAACATTTCACTTGCTAGGCAAATCAATGTTAGAGAATCATTAACCAATTCCTTATCCTNAAAGTAGTGACGAGGCTAAGGCAAGGCACCTACAAATCAACCTGTACAATTTAACAATGTATATACACATAACAAAAATAAAGAACTAAACAGAAAATGTCGGGAGGAGAACATACTGAGGGGAATACAAGATAAAGGACTACAACAGAATGATCACCGGAGCAGTCAATATACCATGAATCAACAGGACTAGTGAATACAGTAAGGAAAAATGCACAACATCACTCTTCGTGCTTTTACTCTCAATCTTACCATAAAATTAATAGAAATAGCACGACATCACCCTTCGTGCATTAACTCTCATATCATGGCACGACATCACCCTTCGTGCATTAACACTCACAATATGGCACGGCATCACCCTTCGTGCATTAATACTCCCAATATGGCACAGCATCACCCTTCGTGCATTAACACTCACAATATGAAACGACATCACCCTTCGTGCATTAACATTAGCCCTTACCATAATGCAATGCATAAATATCAACAGGGAGATAGAATAGCAAGTACAAAACTTACCTCAACATTTGGTTCCATAACATCAATCTCAACTTTGAAATAAAAACTCAATTATCACCAGAAGATCCGTAAACATGATACGAACGATAAATTGAACAACACTAGTATAACACATCGCAATTAGGCATAGGAATGAGACAATATAAGAAAAACTGAGAAACATGGAAAACAGGTAAATTGGCGGCGCATAAGTACTCATCACCTCACATATACGCCGCTCACATGAATTTTACTTAGCAAGTAATCTAAGGTTCCCAATTCCCTCAAGTCAGGATTAGACACAATACTTACCTTGCTACGAAAGCCACTTAATTCTCAATCACAGCTTTTCCTTTGGAGTTCACCTCCAAACTACTCGTATCTATTCAAAAATGAATCAATAATATCAAATTTTGCTAAAGGAATCAATTACATTGCATAAATTTAGATTTCCTAAATTTTCCTCCAAAAAGTCAAAAATCGACCCCGGGCCCGCTTGGTCAAAACTCGAGGTTCGGACCAAATTCCATTTACCCATTCACCCCCGAGCCCGAATATATAATTGGTTTTGGAATACGACCTCAAATTGAGGTCTAAATCCCTAAATTTCCTAAATCCCTAGTTTCTATCCAAAACCCCTAATTCTACCATGAAAACGTTAGATTTTTGTTGAAATCTTGTAGATTTTTTGTTGAAATCTTGTAGATTTTTTGTTGAAATCTTGTAAAATGTAGTGAAAGATTGAAAGAAACCAGTTTAGAATCACTTACCTATGATTTGGGGAAGAGATGGTCTTTGGAAAATCGCTTCTTGTGTTTTAGGTCTTGAAAATTTGGGAAATGAATGAAAATTCTCGTCTAAAAGTCATTTTGTTTAGCTGCAGACGTCGCATTTGCGACCTGAGCTTCGCAAATACGAAGCCTTCACAATCCTGCTGACCTTCACAAATGCGAGGAAAGTGTCGCAATTGCGATCACTGACCTCGCAAATGCGGACATAAGATCGCATTTGCGATCCATACCCCTCCCAGACTCCCTTCGCATTTGCGATGAGAAGTTCGCAAATGCGACCTCAATAGTGATCGCAAATGCCAACCCTGACCTTGCATTTGCGAGGTCTGAGGCCTGCAACACAGCTGAAGCACACCGGCTATTTTTCTAAGTCCAAATCACTCCGTAGCCTATCCAAAATTCACCTGAGCCCTCGGGGCTCCAAACCAAAAATGCACACAAGTCTAAAAATATCATACGAACTTGCTTGCGCGATCAAATTGCCAAAATAACACCTAGAACTACGAATTTAGTACCAAATCAAATAAAATTCTCAAGAACACTTTAAAAATTTTTATTTTCTCAACTGGACGTCTGAATCACATCAAATCAACTCCGTTTCTCACCACATTTCACAGACAAGTCTTATATATCATAATGAACCTGTGCCGGGCACCGAAACAAAAATATAGACCCGATACTAATAATGCCAATTATCAATCAATTCTTAAAAATAAATAATTTCCAAACTTTTAATTGTCATAAAAAATTCATAACTCAAGCTAGGGACCTCCGAATTCAATTCCTGGCATACGCCCAGGTCCCATAATTCGATACGAACCTACCGAGACCATCAAAGCACAGATCGAGGCCCGTTTACCAAAAATGTTGACCGAAGTCAACTAAAATCAACTTTTAAGGCAGAAATTCTTATTGTTTCATCAATTTTCAACATAAAAGCTTTCCGGAAACCTGCCCGGACTACGCACGCAAATTGAGGAGGGTAAAAATGAGATTTTTAAGGCTTAAGAGCACAGATTTGAGTTCTAAAACATAAGATGACCTTTTGGGTCATCACATTCTCTACCTCTAAAAAAACCGTTCGTCCTCGAACGGACATAGAAAAGTACCTGGGCTGGTGAAAAGGTGGGGATATCTA